AAACTGAACAAGGCAGAAAGTGACTTACTGGAAGAGAGAAAACAAAGAGAAGACAATGAAACGAAACTGAACAAGGCAGAAAGTGACTTACTGAAAGAGAGAAAACGAAGAGAAGACAATGAAACAAAACTGAACAAGGCAGAAAGTGACTTACTGGAAGAGAGAAAAAATGCTGATAACTCGAAGATGGAATTGGAAAAATTAAGTCAAAGGTACAAAGAGACCGGTGTTGAGATCGAAAAATTAACTAAATCAATAGAAGAAAAAGCAAAAGAAGACGACAATAAAATGATAACAATACAGAAGCTGCAAAATGAAAAGGAGAACGCACTTAAAGAAAAGAAAGAGAAAGAGGATGAATGTGAATTGATGAAAACATATTACGAAGAAGAGAACAAGTTCGCCAAAGAACGTCTGGAGCAGATTCAGTCACTCAAGAAGCAGATTGAGGAATTAGAACAAGTTCTAAACAAAAAAGAAATCATCCTGACTGAGTTAAGAGAAGAAAATGATCATTTATCTTCGAAGGTTCAAGAGACCAGCAATAATTTTAAAACACAAGCTACTGTTTTAAAGGAACACAAAGAAAAGTTGAAGAATATGGATGCGAAGGAAAAATACATTAAAGACCTTCAAAAGGAAATAGAAGAGCTCTCCCACTTGCATCGACCCAATAAAGAGGCAACAGAGAAAACAGAGACTGAAACACCAAACAACGGCATCATGACACATCTCAAAGAAATCGAAGACGAATTCGATGGTTTGGAAACCGAGCTTTCACAAAAAGATGAACAGATCAAGAAACTCAATGAGGAATGCCTCAAAGCTAGAAGTGAGAATGAAGAAACTGAGAAACATGCATCAAAATTGCAAGATCAAATAGATAGTTACAAAAAATTGTTGAAACGACATGAAGCGCATGCGCAAAAGTCTGCTAATGCCATGGAAAAAGCACGGCTTCTGTGTGAATTACTCCAGACTGATATTGAAATTAAAGACCTGACTATCAGTCAACTAAACAGTGACGTGTATTCTCTGAAATTTCAAATGAAAGACAAGGATATGGTAGGTAAAAATGTTGACATGCCACCTCCATACCGAGCGAGAAAGTACGAGGAAGAGCAAGCTGTCAAGGAACTTAGAAGTGATGCTCAAGTAGCTTTGCCTAACACGAGCCAGAAATACGATATATTGAAAGGAAAAGATGAACAGACGAAAAAGTTACGCGAGCAAATCATTCACATGGCTAAGGTGATGGAAAAGTCTAAAGAGCATTACCAAAGAGTCATTGCAGAAAAAGACATGGAGATAGACAAGCAAAAAAAGACGATAGCAATGATAAAGAACTTGTACCACAGCCTCAAGACTGAATCTAAGAGAGAAGAGATTTTTAGTGACGTTCAGCTTTTGATACCAGAAAAAGAAACAAACGACGCAGTTGTCATAATGAATGACTTAGAAAAACAACTAAAATCAATGAAAGACGAGTTACAGAACAAAGTTGAAGTAGTCAAAAGTCTTAAAGAGAACATAACAGAAATTAAGCGTGACAATGAAGAAATAGATAGGAATTTGCTAAGTCGCAAGGAAAACGTACACAAGCTACTGTCCATCCAGTTGGAGGAAAAAGAGAAGAAGCTTAAACGCATGGAAAACCTCCTTGAAGGCCTGAAGGAAATCTACYATGGTAAGGGTGAAAAAGAATCTCGGGAGGCAAGCGAAGTCAAAGATTCCTCTGTGCTGCCTGTGGACCCTGCACTAGATAGAGGTGATGCTGAAGCAAAGCCTCAAAATGACAATGAACGTCAACTGCCTAGAGAAACAAGTAGCTGTGAGGAGACTGGGGAAACCATCCATGGAGATAAATCTGAGAAAGAATTACAAACAGAAAAAGAGATGGTTGCTAAAGATAATGATATTTTCGAAGGTCACCAAGATCTATCTAAAATTGATGACAAAACGGATGGAAATGGAAACCCTGATAAGGATTTTAACCCTGTAAGCACCTCTCAAGATATTGAAGACCAAAATAAAGATAATGACAATGAAGAGGCAGATCAGAACCGGTTGGACCCCCTTGGCGAGCAAGCGTTAATGGAAACCTGCATGCCACTTGATATCCAACCAAGCAAAGCGAAGCGTTTGGCTTCAGAAAACGTCAATGATAAAGATTTTCCAACATCAGGCTGGAAGGCTAAACTTTTGGCGTATGTTGTTATTGGAATTGGTTTAAGTTTTCTTCCTCAATATCTTAAGGACAACACACTCAGATTAGTATTGGCGGGGGTCGCGACTCCTCTTTTCTACCTTTTGTCGGCAATTGAAGTAAAAGTTTATCGTAAAAAGGCCGAAAACTATTTACGAACACTTCAAGTAAACGGAGAAAGCATTCCTGAAACAACTTTAGAGGATGATTATTTACTTGGCGAAGAAAGAAAACTAAAAGTAGAAAGTGACAAGAAAGTAATCGAAGGATTAAAAGAGCAGCTGGAACTAGAAATAAAAGCAAAAACCGCAAAGGAAGAAGATATGGAGGTTAATGATGAGAGTGACGTCTTACAAGAACAAAAAAGAAAGGTCTGTTATCTTGAAAAAACGTTACATGATCTAGAAATGGCAAAAATTGAAGAACAGGAACAAAATAAGTCGAACTTCGATGAGTACATCAAGCTTAGGAATGCAGTTGAAGAATTGCAACGAAAGCGTGACGCAGAATCCAAGTCTAGATTAGAGCTGAAAGATATCCAGAAGCACAATCCTGCAAAACTTGAAAGGGATGTCAAGTTATTTTCTCTCCGTCTACGATCATTGCCATTATGGATTGCACTAGCAGTGGGTATCTACCAGTTAACAGCACTCCATCCAGCAGCACCGTGTAGCATAATAATTCTCCTTACTCTGTATGCAGCAAATTCGTGGTTTAACATTAGGAACTTTAAGAAGAAGTTACTGGAAGAAAGAGAAGCGGCAGAGTATAAAAGCGCGGAACTGGAAGACTTGACAGAGCTTCTTGAAAACGAACACGAGGTCGTAGAAACGCAGAAAGCTGCCATTGATATTATGGTGCGGGAAATAGATAACGAATATGTCAGTAGAAAGGGAAAGACAGTAACATTAGCCAAGATGATATTGCAAATGAAAGAGTTGGAAGAAATGAGATGCGCGCTTAAAGACGAGAATGTGGGGCAAGCTAAAGATAATGAAATGGATGCAGCAATGAAAAACGTTTCCAGACAAAACGCTAGTGAAAGAGTACGACTGTATTTTGAAGTGAGCCGAAAATTTCCAGAGCTCGAAGAAGACTCTTTAGACGACTTTGGAGAGCTTGGCAAAACAGTAAAGGAACTGGCCACTTTTGCAGAGGCGCAAAATGAAAATCAATCAAAGACAATGCCAATAGCAAACCCAGGTAACGCACGGAAAAACAGTTATGGGCAAAAGTTAATAACAGCCGTTGGAGTAACACTAACCACTATTGCCATGGTAACCTCAATTATATTCAAGTCGTATATACCAGCTGTTCTAATGGCCGTTCAACTTTTCATTTTTTTGCTGTCTCGAAGACAACGAAAATATTATGAACGAAATGAAGCTAGTCCTGAAGAACTTCAAGCTAAACTTGAACAGGAAGTAAAAAGAAACAAAGCAAACAGACTTCAGATTGGAAAACTAAAAAGACTTTTGGCTACAGAAAAAAGCTTAAAAAAGTCTGATGAAGTTGCTAAAGAAATCCGACTCAGAGTCAAAGAACGAGCTCAGAAGAAAAAAATGGCGATCTAAATGATGTAAAGTTTGAGATACAAATGCTATTTTTAGGATTTCATTCTATTTTGGCCATTGACAGTATGACCAAGGAAAATGAGTCAGAAAAGATGAAACTTGAGTAAATAGAAAACAATTAATAAGCCAAGACAACGCAAGAAACGCTTGGGACGCAAGCACAATGCCAAAAAAGCCACGCAACTCAGTATCATTATAATTTGTATTATAATAAGGCATTTATACCAGGCCAGCGTTTTGTTGTAAATTATAGACGCCGTGTTTGCGTATTTAATATTTTTTAGGTATGTTACTGTTTTATTCAGTATTGATTTATTAGATCGATAACATTTGATAAAAAAGTCTTAGCACTTATCATAGCACTTGATGTAAAGCATGTGAATAATATCGTTTAATAAAGTTAGATTATCCTTTATAAAAAGTCTTTATTGTTAAATGTCTTTTAGTGTAAATTTACACGTAATAAAAAATTGAGTAAATGTTCGTGACAAACTGCACACACTAGAGAAAGCAATTACGTGCATCTCTTATTGCATATATTGGATGCATTTGATAATTTGGCAATCGCGCCACTTATTCTAATAACATGCACGCAATCAAGTAGAATATATTCCCTTCATATCACCTTGTAACGGATAAACTAAGCGAAATACACTAAGATTTGTTGGCGAATAAAATATTTCACTAAACAATGGCCACCTGTTGGTGTAGTTTCTAGACATTCAAGGTATAACATAACATCTCATATGCTATTGGTTGTCACAGTGACAAAATGACGTCACAAAATTTAACGTAAATCAGTTTTTACTGCAGCTCAGGGGACTGGGATTCTATTAATACTACACTCTATACAAGCGTCACAAGCATTTCATCCAGGCCGTCCTTCATGTCCCTGTCCATAGAGAAATCAATCTTTTGGGGAATTCTCTTTATCTTAACGATGCATTTAAGAAATGTTCAAAATGCTGTTAGATCCCATCAAAATGGGGATAGATATAACAGTATTCATTCTGCAGGGATAAATGAAGTCCATGACATGCCAATCAACATTATCATTCGTCCTTTTCCCCCAACTCTGGATGAGAGGAAAGTAATTTCTTTGATGGAAACACTAAAGGTAATGGTTTTTTTTAAGATATGACAAAATGAATTTCTCCAGTTAAAATTTTACTTTTTTCTTATCTTTATTAACTTTTATTATTATTATTACAGCCATATAAGAATTTAAGAAAAGCTGTATTATTTTCAGTTTGTAGCCAGTTTATTAATTTCTTTCAGTTTTCTGGTTGAAATGCATTTTGGGTAATCTAAGGAAAGTTTCGTATTTCGTTTCAGTATTTGTTTAACATTCGTGTATATGGTATAAATCGAATGTTCTTAATGAGAAAAAAATTTAACAAAATATTTCTACATATGGAAATCAGGTAGCGAACCGATCAATTAATGTGACGTTATCTATAAATAAATATATTCCAGTACGCTTACACCTACTTGCAAGAACGTTGTCATATGATATTAGAACATTAGTAATTTAGTGAAAAAAGGAATACATTAAAAGACAAAAGAAAAAGTTCAGCTTCAGTGATCTTCTTTTGTTTTTTTAATATAATTCCTATCCCACTAAATCACTAATGTTCTATTTTCGTATGACAACGTTCTTGCAAGTAGATGTATGTATTTTTTGTAAATTCACTACAAACATTAAGCTTGAATAATTTTACTGATTTTTGAAAGTTCAAGTTTGCACTCAATACTCTCATATTACAATTTCGACACTTAAAATCAATAATAGTTTCTGGGGAGGGGAGGGGGAATTCGGACATACAGAACTTTTAAATGAAATACTAAGGCTTGTGCTTTGAATATATATATATTTTTTGTTTCGCTTCAGTTATGAGTCGCAAACAAAATATCAGTTACAGCGTCGGTCTTGAAAACTGGCATGTGGCCTATTGAAGCAGCCATATATAACGATTATAAGATCAACATAATTACTGCTATAGCGCTCAGTACGTAAATACTGCACGTTATGTGAGCTCTTTTAGAAATCATCTAATTTTAAAGTATAATTTAACTTTATATTTCTTAATGTTGCATTAGCTTTTTATCTTTTTCTTGTTACTTATTTATTATTGTATCTTAAGATTTGTCCTTTATCTTTTGATGAATAAACGGAATATTATCATATTATTATCTTGATATTTGGTAAGCTAAAGCAAGCGGAATTCTAAAGTTTGTAGACACGTTATCATGGCTAGAGAGCAAAATTTCATTACACGTTTTAATACTGTGGGCCGATAAAGTTTTAAAACCAAAAATCTCTTGGTATGTAAAATTTTAAAAACAATCATATCATACGACTGATTACGCTTTTTTCGTATATTAACTAACCAGTCGAAACCAATTTCAGCCTCATTTGATCATTGTTAACACTTGCAAGTAATAGAGTGACGTCAGTAAGGCGAAGTTACTTTTACGTCATAACTGCTTGATGTGGTTTTAATATTTTATTTTACTTTTGGATTACGTAGAGTCCAGATACAGAGGACCTTGTCCCTCCTATTGATGTTCTATGGGTAAAAGGCAGATTAGGAGGTAACTACTACTACGCCTTTGGTGGTTGCCATAGATACGAAGCATTCAAAAGACTCGCACGAACCAAAATTCCTGTCAAGCTCATTCGTTCTTCTTTGGGTAACCTTCGTGTGTATCTTGGTTCATCCTTGCCTGATTTGCAGTAACTACTGGTGATAATGACGTCAAGAGCCTGGTTATTAATGAACAGCACAGATGCAAATCCATTTCTTAGTGAATCATGGGATAGGCATGAACTTTATTTTAATCTCTCTTACATTTATTGGCTCATCTAGTCATAAGCTCTGGACTTATACCAGCATTGTTCGTAAGGGTATTTTGATGGACTGAGCCCATTAATAAACCACCAAAAAACTTCTAAAAGTTTTAACCAGGAGGGCCTATAGCCGGGGGACGGGGATTATAACGGGGATTTTACGGCATCTGATTATATGATAACATTGTTTTTACTCATAGAATCTCGTGCCGCATATTTTTAAATTAGAGATTGTTTACAAGAAAACAACTACGATAATTTTGCATGCTCAAAACTAAGTAATTGCTATCAATATTAGAGATGTATAATGCTTATATTTATAATTATGATTTTCATATTAGTATAAAAATCAATTCAATATTGAATAAACAGCACGATAGCCAGATTTGTCATGCTCATATGGTAAATATAAAGCCACTACAATTATGGAATCGTTATTTGCATTTCACCAACAAATAACCAAATATTCAGTTATCCTCAGTGATACATCTTACCTCCGGCCAATAAACTATACTCCCGACTTCAAACCGCTACAAAGCAATCATTGTTACTGATCAGCGAATACAAAAGAAACACTCTAATATAAAGAGCCTCGACAGGTCTAGCGTCTAAAGACGCCATTTGAGCGATAAGGCGTATACCTGTATCCTATGTTAATATCAATATTTGTGGGAAAGTTTCTATTTTCAGAAATGGGAGGCGTTGCCATAACAACTCCAGTTTCTAATTATATTGAACACTGTAAGGGGTTGTATGTTCTTTAAGTCAAAAAAGCCCGCCGGCAGCTTTTTCTTCTCTACAACTTTCATAACTGCATGCCTATATTAGAATTATTGACTTTACTGCCCAGCTTGACTTTAATAAAAAAGAAAGATCTTATTTCTTCTGTCGGCTTTGTTGTAGTGAAAGGATCTCTCAAAACATCACACATATTGACTATTCATTCAGTTCTCCTAGAAACATCTTATTTGTTTGTTATCTGATTTCGTTGTCAGCCAATGTTTATCTTTCCATATCACGACGGAAAGAAGTGCTAAGGTTTTTGTGAACACTTCTAAACATACCTTTTCACACATTTAAGTGAAAAATTGCCATGATTAAAACACTAACTTGTTTTGCGGGACTGATTATGTTTTAACCGGCAGGAACGTCATGTGGAGGTTTTAAAGTGTTTTTTAAATTAGATGTCACAACAGAAGGAAAAACCGCAATCTTTTCTTTTTACATTACAGTAAAACTTGGGAAGGTCAAAGTAGTTTTGGAATTTTATATAAATTAATAACGCCTATATAGTCTAAGCTTGAGGCTCCAAGCAGCACCCCACAAACTGACTACGAGCCATTCTCAATTGTTGGTTATGTCGTTGTGAGCAGCGTTTTGGCTAAGAGATAGACTGTTCGCTTGTTCCCTGTTTTTAAGAAATGGGATGAGTTTGCGACAAGCGCAACGAAGATGTTGAATACGCAAACAATAAACAACAGGGTTGAAGGAAGCGTTCATAAAAGCCACAGTGCCCGAGAACTGAATCGCCACCTTTATAGAACTCGTATAGCCAACCATCTTGGAAGCAATTTGTACACAGAGGAAAGGAATATAACAAAGAAGAAACAGTCCCAATACTAAGAACATTGTTGTAGTTGACTTTTGGTATTTGGCAAAGTCTAGAGAATTCATTTCCGTTTGGTTCCCAGAAAGATGGGATGCTCTTTGAAGACTTTGGATCTGACGGCGATGTCGTCTAACGATGCTGTAAATCTTGGCGTAGGCCCAAAACGTTAGCAGAAGACTCAAAACTAAAATGGACATGTTGACCATAGTAAAAACAGAGGAATTCGTGTTGAAGAACCGAGACACTGAGAGAAGGGTAAAAATTACCCATGAGATTGAAATCGGGAGAATTAGTTTGGGGATTGATATAATATCATGATACCTCAAATGAAAATGTAAGGCCAGATATCTTTCGATGGAGATCATACAGAGTGTCACACAGCTTACAGCCGAAACAATCCATCCAATAACTTCCATTGCTACACGTCCCTTACAAAAAGTATCAAAATCTCCACTTAACTCGGCTACTTTGTACACGACGTGCAATGGCTGGCATAACACCCCTGTCAGAAAGTCAGTTGCAGCAAGACTGCAGATAAGAAAGTTGGATGGGCTGTGTAATGAAGGTGTTCTATAGATTGCTGCAATAACCATCACATTCCCAAAAAATGCTGGAACAACGAATAACGCGTTTAAAGTACTTGTCACGATTCCCATGACATAAACGTAGGTAGGATTTTCCCAGTTTACCGGTATAAAGTAGCAGGTAAGAAAATAAGAAATAGCTCTAATACTAGAGCTATTAGTGAGTTCCAACAAGTTAGTCATCATGAACAGTAAGAGAAACCGAAGATTATAAGATCACGTTTGCTTTTCTATTTGCGTCGGTACCAGAACGTCGGATTCCCATTCTCAACTGAGTCACCACGCAAATGCCATGCAGGTGAAGAATCTTTCACTTTCCATATGCATGGGTTTTAATTAGACCCAGGCCAGCTAGTCATGCTGCTTCAGTTGTGTCCATTAAATCTTGAATCGTAACAGAATATATAATCCGAGCATCGTAACCTTCATCAAGGTTATCAATTGTTGCTATAGTATCGACAAAAAATCATGAAAACAATAAACTAATATCTGTTTTGTTGAATGTTTTCCAGGGGTTCTAGAAATATTACTCGACAAAGGGTTTCATCCAAATAAAATCAACAAATTTATGTTATTTTTCGGAAAGGATCACAGCGAGACACCCACTGACACCCGCTCGAAATGCGGTTTTGTGAGTTTTCTAGACTTTTCATAAGTTCAAAATTCTCTGTTTGTTTCTCGTATAAATCTTCGGAAGCAATTTCCAGACTTTCCGACTGCAACATAAAGTGAATTGATCTTACTGGGCGATGTCTCAGGGATTTTTATATTATTCATGTTCACTCAGTCATATATTAATAAGCAGATGTTCATCTGGTTATGTTCTCTAAATAACAAAAAATTAACAAACGAAAAAATATTTATTTTTAGCCAACATAAAAATTCCTGGCTATATATGATATCATGCGTCAATTTTAATGTACTGACATGAAACGAATCCGAACGTGTCAGAAACAACTGTCAGAACAAGAACAAACAGGCTATCTTTTGACCTGCATCATGACAGAATTTATCTGCAGCGAAAAACCATGCAGCAAAACTGACAGCGAAGTGTCAGTTATTTGAACTATAAAAAGCTCACAAAATTGTAATTGTTAACTTAAAGGAGAAATTTAATAAGACAGTCCGTATAATTTAAGGATAATTCTTGGATTTCAATTCAAAACTACTCTCTGTAATCGCAAAAACATGAATATATCTTGGGTTGGAGCACATTAAAGCGGAGCTCTTCTCTTCTCGACGGTTGGACCTCGACTGAAAAAATTTAGGTTGTTATCCATGATCCACTGCGAACGAGTGACCAACCTCTTTTGGCGAAAGACAATATAAGCGTGTTGTCTCAGATTCACGACAGTCTCGTTTATAAAACACTTGGACTCTTACTGGTGTTCTTTTTCAAACTTCTTCTTTTTTGCACACAAATAAATAATTCTGCAATATCAGGCTGATAGCACAAGAAATTGCGAGTATCGGCAGCTGTTAACTGTACAACAAACTATTGAAAAATATGACAACATAATATACATCGAAACATACGTATGAAACTCTTTCTTTAATTAGAGGGAGGGATTTCCTTAATCATATGCGTATAGGATGAATATAACACACAACCACCTGTAAACTGAATTTCTGTTCATTATGTTGTTTACTCTTTGGCAGTTGCCATGGAAGCTAAAGCAATATTATTACGCAAACATATTTGTAGCTTCTACTGAACTTCGACTAATGTTTAGCAAAACCTCGCATTTTACATTTTAAAACGCTACAAAAAAGTATCTTTTTGGTTCACACAATGCACACAGGTGAGTATTGGTAAACCAATATCGTTGAAACTGGAAGGAAAATTCCTAATGAATTTCATGCATATTAAAAGTATATCGTTTAACAGATCAAAAACAGTTTTCCGTGTTTGATACTCTGATCAAAACACTTGGGATGTTGAGAGAACACGAGAGGAGCGTAGGAAACCACGACGCGTAGCGGAGTGGTTTCCAGCTTCTCGAGTGTTCTCCCAACATCCCAAGTGTTTTGATCAGAGTATCAAACACAGAAAACTGTTTTTGATCTGTTTTATAAAATAACAAACGCGCGAAAAGATCGAAAAAAAGCAAAGTCTAAGTAAATTCTCCCTACGTGCCGTCTTATTCAAACTGACCAATGAGCGCGCGCGATAGATTAAAAATGACGGTAGCGTGTTTTGATACTCTCATCAAACATGGTTTTCGACCAATCATAGCGCGCGTAGTATCCCAAATATTTTATAAATAAATAATTAATATCTGTTAATTTTTTTGATGACTAAGGTAAGCTAAAGTAAGCCAAGCTTTTGTGAACGCATCCATCAAATGCAAAAACATTCCGAGTGTCTCGTCATACAACTATTACTGAACAAAAGAGCTGCTTATATTTGAAAGTTGTTTTCTGCCAAGAACGGCAGGGAAGCCTCTTTAGAGTGTTTTAACTTATGTTAGCAATTTGGAAGATTGACAAAAAGTAAAGGAAAAGAACGAAAAAGCAAGCAGTAGCTAACTCTCGCCGCGGAAAAGAAGAATACTCCAAAGGAACATTGAACTAGACCTTTATTTGAAATACATCAGTACATTTGAAAAACCTTTCAGTAGAAGATTTCTATTTATTTTATTAACCTGGTAATATCAACTAGAAAAGCAAACACAATTGGAACTGATTAGGATCTACCATGGCGCTTTCCATGACAAAAGGTCCAGTGCGCTTTGCTGAAGATATTGTGAGTGAAGCATTAGCCGAAAAGTATCGCAACTCTCTGAAAGAATCAGCCAAGGGAAAGAAAAGAGGGAGAAGGATCCGAAAACAAGCAACACAAATGGTAAAAAAGAGACCCCTTTGGTGGATCAACCTCAACAAGGGCTTGTTAGCCGAATTTATAATATTCTTAATATCTCAAGGATTCGATTTTTTTACCAACTGCTGGGTTCTAGTTCAAGTTTTTCAAGTTCTTGACAAAGCGAGGTTTTATCAAAGTTATCACAACGTAACAGCACTGAACTTCACAACTCCTGGAATTTGTAGTAGCAATGAGGGATGGGAACGAGAAGAGATAGATGTGAAAGTAAAGCACTTTTATGATGTGGTAATAGTGTATTGTGTCTTTGTTTCTCTAACATCTCTTTTTATAACTCTACAACTGATGAGCTGGCTCTACACTCTTTACCTATCCACGGAGAAGCGAGAAATCGGGAAAAAAGGTAGAGAAATTCTTGTTAAGATGAAACTGGTATTTCTAGCCGCTGCCAGCTTCTTGGAGGATATTCCCCTTTCTTCTCTCACAGCTGAACTGTTTGCTGTACAACAGGGCGCGCGTGGGGTGACATGCTGGTTGTGCAGTGTTACAAACTCTTGTCCAGATAATAAGACTCTGTTAGACTTACTTGATTCCAGTCAACAAGTTCTCATTCTCAACGCGTGCGCAATCTCTGTGACGTCATTATGGAAAGGTATATCAAGTTTTTATAGATGGAGTCGTATCCCTAATTGCGAGGCCTTCTTCATTCGCGCATGTACGTCCCTTTTTGTAGGGGGCTTGTTCGTCATCGTTATTCTTACTCCTGCGATGACCGTCTTGACCTACCGGTATTACTCACTGCCTGGTGTTAGTGGAGGTCTCGTAAAGGACCTTATTGATAGGGTTTATGTCATTGGGGTGATATTTTGGATCGCGGTATTGGCAGTTATGTGCTGCTGTCCATTATTGTTTATGATTAGGGTTGTTGATAAATAAAAGAGTTCTTAATATTCTGAGAGGCAAAACTAAAGCTCATTGTACTCAAGGCCTTCTCAGTAAGGGTCTGGGTACAAGAATGAGCTCATCGTGAGAAGCACAGTAAAGTTTATCGACAAAGTTTAAGAAGAATTTCAAGAACTGCAGTCATCTTTTCGAAAACCGTTCTCAAAAGTTAGGCTTTAGTACAAAAGGGCAAGGGTCAGTTGAACTCGAATACATGTAGATAAGTGTTTCTCACTCACAATACACGAACTAATGTTTCATGATGTCTTGGGATTCAACTTCGTGAATTATGTTTAAGCTTATCGTTTGGACAACTTATAATTAATTTACTGAAAAGCTATAAAATAAATAAGCTAACTGATCTACGTAGTAGCTAAACTGGCAATGACAATGTATTAAAAAGCGCAGAAGGCTAGGATTTACATGGGTTGTTAAGCTTACATCAGTTCAGCATGTACTGGATCTAACCAGGCCAACCATAACATCCTTTTAAGATTAAAAAAACCCTTCTTTAAGATTATTATATAATAAAGTTAATCTTACCTGATATTTCGTATATTATATTGTCTTGTTTGTCCATTATATTGCTTTAAAATAACGTCTTCTTCGTCCCTTTTAACGAAGTTGATGCGTTCGACGCAGTACTAGACTCGGTACTGACAGGAACGGCAAGTCAGCGCACGCGCGCGTGAAAATGGCGGGAATGTTTTTATATTCTGTCACTTCCTTGTTTTCCTTGATCCTTCAGCCTCTCTATTGTATTTAAAATTTCTTTCATTTTTATTAAACCATTTAAGAAATTTAAAGCTGAATTAATTAGTTTAAAATGTTTTCAAACATAAGAAAGAAATATGAATAATATTTTTCAAGCCCTCCCCTGTTAGTTAAAATATTGTCAACATGATAACGAGGTAGTTCTTGACGGCCATCTTGTTTTCTTTGAAGTGTTGTTGTCGTTTTGAAGGCTTTTTCAACTTAAAAATCATACCCCCAGTAATTCATTTTAGCCGCTAAGATTGAAAAACCGGCGGACATCAAGCAAAGGATGGCTATGCTAGCTCCTTCTGCTTCACAACAAGGATCTTCCAAGAGAAAAGAAATTTATAAGTACGATGCTCCTTGGACAATCTACGGCATGAATTGGAGCGTCAGAACTGACAAACGGTTTCGCCTGGCTTTAGGAAGTTTTGTTGAGGAATACAACAACAAGGTATGTAAATAATTACGTATTATTATGTAGGATTGGTTTATTGGGGGTGTTCTTTGACCTAACTACCGCATTTAGACTTTTCCTCGTTTTAAGAAGGTGATGTTTATTTTATACCGGACATAAGGCGAAAAAGCTAATTTCTAATCAGATCTCATTCAGATTTTTACTTCAAAATGCTAATTAAAATACAATCTTATATTAAGAGACTCAAATTATATAGCTAGGAAATATCTGAGAAGTGTAAGGCTTTCCAAAGGTCACTTGGTACTGTTTCTAGTAAGTTTGTTTACGTATAATCTAAACAGTGGTTTATTTATAACCATGAACATCATAGGTTCAAATCGTATCATTAGAAGAAGAAGCTGGAGAATTCTCAGTTAGAGCCACGTTTGACCATCCTTATCCAACTACAAAAATAATATGGATTCCAGATAATGTAAGTTTATAAAAAGGTTTGTTATTCCTCCTTTACATTGAATCCCTTTGTTTTGAACAGTACTAATATTTAGACACTTCAGCAATAATAGCATGTTTGAAATCCTTTGTAAATAAAACTATTCATAACAAAGAATCCTTTCATTTTCCAAAGTTGCATTAAGTAATAGTATTAACCTACCAATGGTGTACTCTGATTGGCTGAGCTACAGTAGTCTATTAGTGATAGATCACTAGTAGCAAAAAGTAGTGGTTTTGAAAATTTCAAACTAATTTCAACATTGTCAGTATTGATTTATTTGACCCACTGGTAGGCTTATACTAAAACAACTAGATGTCTTGCCCTTCAGCCTCATGGGCTATTGATTTATAGACCATTTGAGCTGCGGTTCCAATTGTTAATCATAAGTATTTATTGAAAGAGGGGAGATGATTTACCAATTTGTTTTCTGTCTGATTTAGAATTCTTACCCAGACCTTCTTGCGACATCTGGTGATTACCTAAGAGTATGGAGAGTTGGTGACTCTGATGTGAGGCTAGAATGTCTTCTAAACAATGTATGTACTGTACCAAATGTTACCTTTAAGTATGACTGAAAATATTCTTCAAATTTATTGATACCTTGAAACAACCTTTTGATTGATCAAACCTCAATAGATCTTGATAGAAGATGGGAAGACCTGCTTAAAGATCAAATGTTTGTTTTCACTGTTTTTATTAGTATGTGATGATGGAGACAAGCTAGGTCGCAACTTTGAAAGCAGTCAATACACTACTGTCAATCAAGTTAATTGGTAGAGTAGTCTCCCATGTACCTTCTCACAATCCCATGTACCTCTATGTACTCTAATAATATATTTAATTTATATTGATTAACAGTAGTGTATTGCCTGGTTTCCATGTGTGCGACTGTTATCTTGATCGCTGCATAACAATGAAAACAGTGGTAATGAACTTACAAATTATTGTTTCTGATCACCTTATTTATTTATTTATTTTCAGAACAAGAATTCTGACTTTTGTGCTCCTTTAACATCATTTGACTGGAATGAAGTTGATCCTAATTTATTAGGCACCTCTAGTATTGATACAACTTGTACAATATGGGGACTAGAGGTACTGTATGTTGACATATAAAAATAAATGCATGAATGCCCTGTAATTATTATTCAAAATACCACAGATCACTGGATAGACTTGTTAAGGCCAATTTACATGGTACAATTTTTTCCCCAATTGTTGTGCATAACATGCTTGTACCAAATTTTAACTGTATACTAAAGTCATGCTAGGGTTTTCAGACCAGAAAAAAACATGCCATGATCATGCCTCCAAACATCAACAACTCCTCCAACAAACATCAATGTTTTGAATAACATCACTGTTATTTTTTCAGACTGGTCAAGTTCTTGGTAGAGTGAATTTGGTATCTGGTCATGTAAAGACACAGCTCATAGCTCATGACAAAGAGGTAAGACACCATGCCACTTATCAACCTTTTACAAAATAATCACATGAATACATAGGGGAAGAATAAAGGGAAGAGGGAGGGAGGGAAGGAAAAAGACAGAAAGACAGACAATCCTGCAAGCAGGCAGACACCAACACCAGTGGACCATGCTAGACTCTAATAGTCAAACTAACCACTTATTTCATTTGAAATATTTTTGTTTTAGGTATATGATATTGCATTTAGTCGTGCTGGTGGAGGCAGAGACATGTTTGCCTCTGTTGGAGCAGATGGCTCTGTTAGGATGTTTGATTTAAGGTAAAAATCTCATCCTTAAGCATTTAACTATCATCTAGCCCAAATAATTGTTAACACAGTTTTGTTAATTATGAAAAGAGTTAAAGGAAATATATTTTACTGGTCTCTGAATCTTAATACATACTTATAGCTGATATGAAGTCTCACTGTTTTCCAATTACAGACACTTAGAACACTCTACAATTATCTATGAAGATCCCCAACATAGTCCTCTCTTAAGATTATCATGGAATAAACAAGATCCAAATTATTTGGCAACATTCTCACTTGATGCCGTAGAGGTAGGAGCATTTAATGCCTATTGTACAAGCTCTATGTAACTCATATTAGATATATTCATGTAATATTATAGAAGAATGTTATATTTTGACATGGCTTGTTATTGTATATTGACAGGTGATAATTCTAGATGTTCGTGTTCCATGTACTCCAGTAGCAAGACTTAATAATCACAGAGCATGTGTTAATGGTATTGCTTGGGCACCACACTCTTCTTGTCATATTTGTACTGCAGGTATTCATTAATCCAACTAGTACACCTGTTGTTAATAATATGTGGCATTGTATATTTTGGAACAATGTAAGCCTTGGTGGATGTCAACTAAGGCATTTGCATTACATTCCATCTATATAGTACATGCCTTAGAAAACTTACCAAATAATGTCACAGAAACACTTGACTGATGTCTATGAGAACCTACTCTATAGTAACAATGATTACAAAGATAATTTAGATATGCCAGTAATACTTGTAATGTTTGTTGTTCATAAGAACCTACTCTATAGT